GACATGGGAATTGTTTCCCGTCTACCCCGTGCCCCGCAGGCAGGGTTTGAGTTGACCTCTTGTATTGGCGTTTTCCCTGGAACAATGAGGTGGTAACCAGCCTGCTGCCCTTTCTACAGAAATGCACAGGACCTCTATCGTGGGAAATGACTCGGTTACCGGCTAAAGATTGAGTCAAGTTTCCTGTTCATTTGCGTTCGAATATTGCAACTGCCTTTTACGTAAGGATGAGAGGAAATTTGGCAAAGAAATGACTTCAACAACTTCCTGAGCAGAGAATAGTTCCTAATCAGAGAACAGTTGCTAAAGCAGATAATAGTTCCTAAGCAGAGAATAGTTCCTAAGCAGAGAATAGTTCCTAAGCAGAGAATAGTTCCTACGCAGAGAATTGTTCCTAAGCAGAGAATAGTTCCTAAGCAGAGAATAGTTCCTAAGCAGAGAATAGTTCCTAAGCAGAAAGTAGTTCCCAAGCAGAGAATAGTTCCTAAGCAGAGAATGGCTAAGCAGAGAATAGTTCATAAGCATAGAATAGTCCCCAACCAGAGAATAGTTCCTAAGCAGAGAATAGTTCCTGAGCAGAGAGATATAGTTCCTGAGCAGAGAATAGTTGCTAAAGCAGAGAATAGTTCCTAATATAAGCAGAGAATAGTTCCTAAGCAGAGAATAGTTCCTAAGCAGAGAATGGCAAAGCAGAGAATAGTTCATAAGCAAGAATAGTCAACAGAGATAGTTCTAAGCAGAGAATAGTTCCTAAGCAGAGAATAGTTCCTAAGCAGAGAATAGTTCCTAAGCAGAGAATAGTTCCTAAGCAGAGAATAGTTCCTAAGCAGAGAATAGTTCCTAAGCAGAGAATAGTTCCTAAGCAGAGAATAGTTCCTAAGCAGAGAATAGTTGCTACGCAGAGAATAGTTCGCTAAGCAGAGAATAGTTCCTAATCAGAGAATAGTTGCTAAAGCAGAGAATAGTTGCTAAGCAGAGAATAGTCCCTAAGCAGAGTATAGTTCCTAAGCAGAGTATAGTTCCTAAGCAGAGAATAGTTGCTAAAGCAGAGAATAGTCCCTAAGCAGAGAATAATTCACAACCAGAGAATAGTTGCTAAAGCAGAGAATAGTTGCTAAAGCAGAGAATAGTTCCTAAGCAGAGAATAGTTGCTAAAGCAGGCAATAGTTCCTAAGCAGAGAATAGTTGCTAAAGCAGGCAATAGCTCCTAAGCAGAGAATAGTTGCTAAAGCAGAGAATAGTTCCTAAGCTGACATGACCTCCAAAACATGTTCATGAGACGTTTTGTCTCAGGTGTTTCGAGTTGAAACTCCTTACCCCATTCGAGTCCGGCGCCATTTCTATCACAGCTGTCTTGGCACTGATAGCATACGTGAGAAAACCAGGATGGTCCTTATTAAGTCGAAAAACCTTCACGAAGATTTGATGGCCCCAATTGCCCACAAACACATGAACATATCAACGTAACGGATATGAGCAGTAATAAATTGCTTTCAAAATCTTGCACCTATACTTCTAATAAACTGTAGACTATGACTATGGGGACAACTAATCGTGAAACTCTGTATCCCAGGTGAAGATAATTCCGTCACGACTAGACATGCCTTGTGACAACATCGCATTCATCGTACACCCTCATAATATTCCAATTTCGTGCGAACGTGGATCTTTTCCATGTAGCTCTGACAGACGCAGATCCCTTTTGGCCCTCCAGTAAAGTACCCATCGGTCAATTGTCAAAAACGCCACCGTGAGATAGCGATTTCATTGTGTTGTTGCGACCGTAGGGATACCCTTGGGAAAGCTAAGTAACCCCAATCGCGCGGAAGCCAGATTAACTGATATGTGTTGTTCTCGTCTGACATCGCCCTTCACCCTGTCTACGATGTATGCGGTCGGGATGAAAACTTGAGCAGTCCTTCTGACAGTTGGCGCGCGCTGCAGAAAAGTTTAGCGACGGCAATGGTGCCAGGCGGGAGGGAAGCTGCATGAGACTTTCGACAGTCACTGCCATTACAAAGTTTTATTTCTAGTAATCATTTAAAGTATAAAGCAGTCGTTTTGAGCTCGAAATGACATATAGAATGCATGGGTATTAGAAATACATTTTGGCAATTTCACTCTGCAATTAAGACATTTTCGTACCGTCAACGTTGATAATAACCTTGGGTGATAAACTGTATCAAGACCTTTATCAAGACATAGCGATCACCTAATATTTCTAACTCTCCTCGTACAGAAAAGGTCGATGCTGGAGTAATGTGAGATGAGATCAGAATCCAGGTCGTTTCCCTCATGGCCTTGCCGTGAAAGCCACAAGAAGACACCGGTCGTATAGATGTCATCGTTGTCAATTATGGTTAGCATATGACATTGAGCGTCCTGCAAAAGGTTATTCATTGTACCGGTGTATGACAGGATCATTGACATTATCGAATGAATTTGCGAATCGTCTATTATTGAAACTCTGCATTCCAGGTAATTGTGCCGTGAAACATTCAGAAACACACAAATTGTACTGTAATGGACTTGGTAGATAGCATCTATACATTTATACAAAAAGCAACGCTAGATTGCAGGATTCTATACTTTTGACCTTTTGTGTGACGCGGAATTACGTACGTCTTTTCATTTCATTGATGTCAGCGGAACATACGTATTACTCTTGGCTGAGATAAGCATCACCACCTCTCTTCATAACCAGTCTGAAAATGATCCAGCAATTGTTGGTAATCTCGAAGCATTACCCAACACATGGTACAATATTGAGGCAATAGCCGCTGCACGCTTAAGGGATATTCTGACCTTGTGAAAACTTTCTCTAATTTTGACTCTGAAAGTTTGCAAACAAAAACTTCTTCAGCCAGAGATCTGTTGCTCTTGCTAACGATATTACATTTTGTATGGCAGAACCCGTGAAACTTTACCTATGGGAAGCTGAAAACTTTCTTGAAGTGAGCTGATCAACAGAGTACGTAATAATGTTTATTCATGCTAATGTTAAATTGATATTGACAAATAAACCCATATGTTACAGACAACCTTTGTTTAAAGCTCCCTTGTTAATATCCAGGATTCAATGCTCGTTTTCCATTGTTGTCTCTACCGGAGCAGGGTTTTCTGTTTAGGGATATATTTTTATTGAACACATCATCACTGATGTCCAACTAGTTTAGGTTCTGTTTTGTCAACCCTAGCAGCAGATCCCCATCAGTCAATTACGTGTTATTACTTTTCTGACAAATACAGTTTAATTTTGGGTGTATTTGACCGTTCTTTATTTTGGAATATTGAATGGTATCCCCAGAGGACGCGTTCTCTGTGGGATTCACCATGATCCTTGGCCGGCCCTGCTAACCAGGCTTAACGGCAATGTGACAGCTGCAAGGCTCGCTCAATATTGGATGCGCTGGTAATATGATTTTTCCTGGTATGATTAGTTTATGGATGAAAGGAAATTGCAAGGCGTGTACTTGTCATGACGTTCAATTATTAACGCCTTAAGCAATTGGTCCATCTCTGATCGACCTTTTCCCCAAAATATTCACCACAATTCCCAGCGTTGTTACACGAGGTTCATTTCAGAAAACCTTGCTTATTGGGGTGTAGAGTAACATTATATTGCCCTCTCAAATCTACATAAATCATCCTCAACAAGATATGTTGATAGATATAAGAAAATGTTAGCTGATACGTGTCTATGGCAGCTAAAGTTGTTTCTTCTTTACCATGCAATATTTCTTCAGCCATGGCCATTTGCCAACTGCTGCTGGAAATACAGGGTGCAAGTATTGCCAGAAACACTCCATGCATCCTGTTGCTCCACAGATACAACACCGTGCTGCAAAGGCTCGAAAAAAAGGTGGACAAAGTGCTGACATTGATTTAAAAATCATACTCATAGAAACAAAATCTACACACTAAATCTTGGCGAAAATTTCACAATTTCACGGATTTTTGGGCCGATTAAATGGAGGCCCCGATATATCGAGCTACTTGTCTCTGGGCTAGTTTCTGCGCTGTTTCAAACGCCAATGGTATGAAATAATGATGTAAATATGTTGATACTTGGCAATATGTGTCAATACCATAAAGATTGTCTTGTTCAAAATATTTCCAATTATAATGCCCAGATATCGCTTAGGGCACCTTTAAAGTAAGAAAACTTTTGGTTTCGTCTGAACATGGCCGCGGTACGTACATAAGGTATGAGCCGTACCAGTGAGCGATTTGTAGCAGCAAAGCGACCAACTGATACCCACCTGCACTCAATCAAACAAGCAAAATACCCAGAACTGGTCCCAATTTTCCGACCGCACCGGAGGGTAATAGACTAATAGATCTTCTTAGCGAAGCGGGATAAACTGTCTCAGCAACCGGGTTGCTCGCCTTTTCAAGGTACCAGCTTTCCCCCTGTGTGCTTAATTAGGGAATCTCAGCTGGGGCTTCGCCAAGCGCAAACGTACTTACAGACGTCGATGATGACCTAGTTCACGAGTTTGAAAATCCATGGAGTACAGTTCTGACCCGTTCTTACACCTTGTTAAACCGATCAACCCTTTGGTAATAACAATCATTACTCAATGGAGTTAAAGACTTTCTTGTTAGACAAGGCGACTAGGTTCTGTCTCTCCTGTGATGCATATAATTGATGTCTTTCAAATAGTTTTTTGTTTGAATCTGAATCAAATCCTTCTCTAGATGATGGAGGAATTGCGGATTACAAAGAATCGAAGAAAAGGCTGTAAAATAACAACACAACCCCCAACCGAAACCTCTGCTTGGAAAGTAGCACTTTTTCTGGTATCCAACTGATTGATGCTGCAGGATGCCAAGCTATAGCTACTGCAGCAGCAGAATACAGTGGACTACTAAAAATAAATAAACAGAATGTCTTTTTCCGATAGCTTTACAAAATCAGAGGGTAAAAGAGCCAAATCATGATCAAGTTTTCCTTGATTAAGAATATTCTATAATCGTCGGACATCCATGTGTTACAGAGCCGTGCACGGTGGAGGGGTTTGGTGACTCTGGCTGTGGAGGATACCGGAACCTTCTGTCTGACTGCGGGGTGCTGAAGACTGTAGGCTTCCCGGGACATGACTACCCTAACAACAGTCTGTGTGAATGGCACATCCACGTCAGCCCCAGGCACAGGATCATCCTCAGCATTGATGTCTTCGAGATGGAGGAATCAGGTGAGTTACCGCTCATTGTTACAGGCAGCTGCCGCGTGTATTGTGCCGTGATATTGTGCCATTGTCTTCTCTCCCCTACCAGTAATACATATATAAATCTTATGCCAGCTTTTCCCTTGTAGATGCGCATCTATGATGTATTGCATGCATCCCTCTTCACTACACAAGACAAGTAACCCGATTTGTATGTGGAGCGCAAGACGATTAAGATGACTAATACATGTTTGAAAAGAGGCTTCCTTTGTGGTAATTCGTCATCATTTGTAGTAATGAATTAAGTTTGCGCGGAAACCATAGATAACGCATTAGGTAATGTCTTCCAAGAGATATTGATGTATCCTTAAACATGCGCATCTAAAGTCGCTTCCGCTGCCACGAGCAAAGGACATCATCATTAACGATCACCACACGCCCTGTCATCCTAATGAAGAACAATCGCTTCAACTTCCTCAGGAACGTAATTTCATTACCTTTAATTACAGTTTCCTGCACCGCAGTCTAAGTAATAAAAAGTTCCTCCCATTCTCCCTCACAATAAACCATCTTGTCAGTGTTCCAAAGTGTTTGTGGTCCCGTTTCTGACACTGAGTCATCGTCGCGTTTGGCGAGACCTCCCCCTGCCCTGGATCTGTCGCTTCGCCAGATTTCAACCCAGCTGTTTATCGATTCTTTTACTTAACTGCTTCACCAAATCAATAGCTAAGACAGGCTGTTTGAAACGAATACAGGAAAACCCATATGTCACGGCAACTTCTCCACAAGTTTCAATCTTCTTGAGTCAGAGATGAAATATTACGTAACCAAAATACCATTTGACACAAACAAATGTTTGTGTAAAATGATTTAACGGTAACACAATAATCAATAATTGAATTTACTGAACCTTTTGTTAGCATTGCCTCAGACAAATTTTGAATGTCTGAGACAATGCTTTGTGGGGAAATGCCTGAGACAATGATTCGTGTGCATCTTCAAAACGAGACAACATAGTAATTCGCAGATTCGGAAGTAATTTATTGGCAACTACATAGGTAATCACATTCCTACGCAACGCTGATAAACATAATGTACCATGGGTCAATTTCACCAGAAGATGAGGGAACCTAGGAGGTGGGGCGATGGCCTATCTGTGGTTTCTACATTACTGTGCCCAATACATTAATATCGACTTCAGCTTTGACATGCCCGTCTCCACCAAGCAGTGGTCAGAAACTATTGACATGCTTCTGCAGATGTCAAGCGGATCCCTGCCCGTACCGATGGGTGTTGATGATACTTGACCCGCACCAATTCGCAGAAAGCATCCATCAGCGCTAACCTGACATGATGATGCCAAGCCATTGGAGCGCGCCGGGGCGTAAAATGAACGATCCATTGCAATCCAAACCATTCGGCACCGAATAGGAAAAATCCAATAATCTGCTATCTTTTATCTGGACACTGAGAAGATACTGAGAAAGACAAACCTAATTCCAATAATGGCAGTTGGCAAAGTTGAGACTACTTTTATGGCTAGAAGCTGCGTCTTATCTGAGGACACAGATTTACTTGCTGATTCTTCCACTGCATAGAAAGGTTTTGACTATTACATACTGGTGTCTACAATGCTATAACTTATACTGCATTCTTTACAATTGTTAGAATATTAGTATTATGAAGAAGAAGATAAAGGAAGAAGACGTAGAGATGTGATCTTTGATTGTGAGAGAATATACGATGAGGGAGTTTTAACGTTGCTGATGAAGTATCACTGCTGAATGAAAAGGGTGATTCAGCTTTATAACTTGAAATATCACATTAGATGAACTAGATGTATTCCGGCATGGTGCCAGTTTCTAAAACTTTATAGGGCAAGGAATTTATTGGTCGTAAAAGCCGGTTTGACGGATACAAAGGAGAGGCTGCAACGCATATCGGAAAAAGACAGGCTCTGCATTTGGTTTATCTCTACGTATGAGAAGGCAGTCAATACTGTGAGTTAAGCCGAGGCCGATTCACCGATGTATGTGATATGCGACATTGAGAGGGATTAGGCGTAAAATCTTTGGGGTAATTTTTCAATTTGATATCACTGCAGGGCTTGACGCTTGGCCATGAACTAAGTTCACTTACGTAACATTAAAACGCGTCTTCAAAATTGTTTTCTTCATGGTACCTTCACACCTGCAGTAACGTTTCAGTTTTACTGTCATTTCTTACATCTTAGTGGGTGACTAATTCCAATGTAGTGTAACTGGCGAAATGATTATTTTATATTTCTGTACTAACGAACAGTCAACGAACAGCACCACCATTGGGGGTTACGAACAATTGCAAGTTGATCCCAAATTGCATGTTGCACACCTGTCATAGTTCTGACATTGTGTCATAAACATGTCTTCCTTGCCCCCGACCGTGGAGCGGACAGGCGAGCGTATCGATGGCCGGGATGCCGCGGCAACTTCGATACCTGTGACCCGTGACCACCCTATCACCCATCATGCCAAAACAGGCTGATTACTTTCGGTCATCTGGGTGCAATAAAAGACGGTAATAGGATTTTTTGCACGGTCGGTCAGTCGAGCAACAAATCATTTGCGGAGAGCTCGAACAACGTATTATGGGCAGATGTCCGTTGACCAGTAGTGAGTTTCAGTTTCTCATGTCCAGTTCTGGTGGTCCATTGGCCTTCCTCTTCGCCGTTAGGACTAGTTGCCCTACGTAAGGTCACAATCATTATCCACAAATCTATTGATGTTACTGAAGGCTCCACATATTCCCTACGCACCCAGTACCAGGGTTTTTTCTAAACAGGGGAATAAGGGAGCTGCTCCCTCATGTCACCAGCCAGCTCCCTCATACCAATTTTCAGATTGAACCCTAAGTGGCTACTCTTATTTAAAAAATCCCCCTTGGTCGCTTCGTTCCTTGTCATGCTTGCGATCTGCTCCCTCATGCTAAATTTTTCTAGAAAAACCCCTGCAGTACCTTTGTGTTCACCCACTCAAATGCTGTAGAAGTCACATTGAACCTGCTGTTCGTCGTTCCCACGAGACTGACACAGAAGTTGATGTCAAGCCGCGCTACCTTTATGAGTAATGCTTATTTCAAAGTCTTACTTTCCGACTCCCGTGAGCCGTTTACAATTAGATAAGCTGTTAAATTACGGCACGCTGACACGGGGTGGCATTAAGTCTACAGCTTAAAGGGAAACAATTATTGGAACTGGTTCGTTGGTGAGGTGAATAAAAATGGCGTAGTTTGTCTGGATCCGTTTGTCATTCATGTGGAAACGATGAAAGGAAAAATTGCAATGTAATAAAACAAGGTACTAAATGTCTACAAACATGCATCAGCTATTCATGTTTTAAAAAATCAGGTTATCATTGCAATATACGAAGATGCCTGCTTTAAAGTTTTAGGGACAAGATTTCTTCCCCTTTGCCATCTTTCTTATTGCAGGATATTAAATCATTCAGCATGCTTACCTATACACAATTCACTATTTTTCTACCAACATGCGTTAGCTATTCATATTTACAAAAAATACAGTTATCATTGCAATATACAAAGATGACTGCTTTAAAGTTTTAGGGACAGGATTTCGTCCCCTTTGCTATCTTTCATATTGCAGAATATTCAATCACCGTGCTTACCTATACACAATTCACTCGCCCCATTACTCCGACACAACGCCGAGACTGTGGAACCAGGTGTGTAATGAGGTCCTTGTTTGGACCACAATAATGCGAGTAATGGAATAGCTACCTCTCATACAGGTATTGGCCCTAACCTGTGACCTCCATTTCCACACTCTGTCAGATTGGGGTGAATGGGTCACAGGCCAGTAAGTCTGGACACTTGAGTCTCATTAAATCTTGTATTTTTGTCTATAAAACCTCGATATGGTTAGAGAGCTTTGAAAAAAGACGTCGCCTGTTGTTAATGTTGAGCACTTTCTGGCTAATAATATAAACGACGGAGCTAGCTAAAGACGTCTGAGAAATATTTCGAGAAATATTTGTAGTCGAGTCGGTGCAATCTACAATGCATTGCCAGCACCAATGGTGCGTGTTAGGTTTGCTCTATTTCAGAAAGGGCCGCTTGAACTAGCCTCTGCCAAGCCGTCATAAGGTGTTATGGATAATAGAACTCGGCACAAATTATTATAGGGGGAATTATTTGTCCAGGGAAGTGGGATCGCAAGAGATCATCGGGCATATTATTGTCCTATGGTGGAATAGATAACATTCATGATCATTGATAAACATGGGTAATAATTTATAAGGGGGCAACATATCAATGTATGTACGTACTAGAGCAGCTCGTCCATATGTGAATTTAATAAGTCGTACGTATCTGTATCTGTATCGCCGGTATAACCGCCTTTCGGCGTAACACACCAGCTTCGCAGGCACGCGGCGCGTCGCAGTATACACAGTGTACATAGTATATAGAGAGTAGATCTATAGTAACAATGCTGGCCCCGGATTAGTATTGTAATCTTTTGTAATCTGACCGTGGCTAGAGGTATAAGCGTAAGTAAGTAAGGATCGATTGATTTTTTTTTACATTAGAATCTAATGTAAAAAAAAAGATCATTTAGAAAGATTAAAACTAACAGAAGATTTTGAAGGTAATAGGTACTTCCTGCAACTAAGTCTAATTTAGATACAGCGACTTTGCCATGTTGCCTTAATGCATGCTGTATCTATTAACGCCGAAATCCTCTGTTAGTTTGAATCTTTTTACTGTTTAAGCCTCTACGTGACAGCAACAACCTTGTAAAGGACCTATTTTATGCTAATCGTTAAAATGCACATATTGGCAGTGAGTCAGTGTAATCCTCACTGCAGCTGATGCACAGGCGAACTTCAGTCTGAGTTACAGGGTTCAAAAGGTCAACCGGAAAAGTTCCCCGGAGTAAATAATTCATCGTTTCCAGTAGAGAGTATGGTTGAGTAAAATTACCAAGCATGGTGCTGTCATTACGACATGACTATAAGTCCCGCTGCATAAAC